GAAGAATCTACTCTTTTTCCTTTGTGTGATTTTGTCCCATTGGGTTTTTCCATACAAAAGGTTTTAACGAGGGATGTTTTCATGGTTCCAAGCTTTACCATAAGGTATGGCAAAGCTTGAGGGGGAGTATTAAATAAATAAATAAAGAGAATTAGATATTTTATTCTATCTTCTCTAGTAAGTCAAGTGTGTTTGGTTACTAGATTAAGTATATTCTTCTTCTCTTTATAACTGATTGTAATAACATTTTCAGATCTAAGGAAAAAGTTCCTCTTTATTTTCTCTTTTCTCTCATCTCCCTCTTGTTCTTCAATCTTAAATCTCCACTTTCTTACATGGTATCAGAGCACACGATCCAGGCAGTCCAACCCGATCCTTATCGATCCAGCCCAAAGTCGGTCCATCGATCCTTACCCGAACATTCCGAGATTGACGCCAAAAAGCTATCATCTCGAGGGGCATGTTAGGGACTAAAGTCTTACATCGGTTGTTGGAAGGGATTTCTAGCAATATATAAGATAGATGGGACACTCCACTTATCACCAATTGATTTTAATTTGGAAGTCTATCTAGCTTAACATATATCATTAAAGAGATCTTATTCAATACTGATGTTCTTCCGGAATAGGATAATATTTTGCAATTTTTATATATTGTTTGGTCGTTTGTGTAGTCTTCTCTGTTTGATTTTCTAATCGATGGTTTATAACCTTTGGAAGAAACGAATCAGATGCATCATAATGATGCATCATAATAATGCCTCACACACGTCGTGCCAGCTCATTCGAATGAGGTATTTCTTCAAAATGGTTCTAAACTAGAACAGTTCATTAATCAAATGCATTTTACTTTCTTATACATACTTTGTTTCCAAAATTTAACTTTAATAACATACGGCTATCAAACTTTGTTACTAAAAAAATATTTCTTAGTTTCTACAACATTGTAAAACAATAATTTATTATTTCAGAAAAGGGTAAGCCATATTTTTGTAAAACTGATGAATAATATGTTATTTTTACATGATGAGTATTATGTTATGAGTATCAAGTAATATTAAACAAGTAATAAAAGGAGAATAAGAACTCTATTCAACCTATCTACATCATCAAATTTAATCAATCAATAAAAATATTTCAATTTGACATATCATCCAGATGCACACTTTAAGTTATAAAATTATAGTATGTTAAGTTTGAATAACTAAATTTCATCAGCTTTGATGGTACATTTACTTTGTTTAACACCCATTAACCCGAGTTCAAACCTATCTAACACTCTTTTTTTACATCTTTTTATTTAAAAATTTAAGGCTTCTTTAGTTTTAACCCATGTTTAAAATCATTCTAGCTCCAACCACTGATGTCACCTAAGCTTTTGTCGACCGGATCTTAAACGGATCATTTATTTGGGCTCGTTATTTTCATCACTGGTCCATCTAAAATCCACATCGTCAACCCTAGCCTTCTTTGACGTTAACATTGGTGATGATCGACTTCGGAACTTTCACTCCCTGCAAATCACTCTTTCTTCTCTAAAATAATCATGCCCATTCTCAATCTTACTTCTATTCTTAAATACCTTTTAGATGATATCGTTTCACCTTCCACCGTTCCTCTTCCTAATTCATCTCAACAAATAAATCCCAAATCGTTTATTCCATAAAGCCCCCAATTCTCCTCATCCTCCTCCTCTTCCATCTTCGTCTTCTCCACCGTCTCTCGTTCTCACAACAGGATTCTGCCGACTGACTTACGTGGCTAACCAACATCTTGGGCGAAACTATCCACGGCCGTTCCAGTTTGGATCAACGTTTTTGAAAAAGTTAAGACATTCATATATTAAAATTACAATTTTCTCTCACACTTTCATCTCCATGGAGCTTTGACTGGTTACATGTCTGCATTCTAGAGATTGATTTCTGATTTTCCATTTTCATAACATTTATATTCTCTTCTTTTTGTTTGTTCCTCCAGCAACAACCAATGGTAAAGGAAGCGAGAAGAAGAAATATACCACCATGGTAAAACTTTTGATTTTCTTCTGAATTTTCTAAAACTAATAATAACGTGACTAAATCTCTACTTTTGGTTTCAGCCAGAGCATATAGTTTTCATGGACTCCAAAACCATAAAGTTCAGAGCTTAGTATCTGGGTATTGGAAGTTTATGTAGGTCATTCCGATGACTAAGACAAGAATATTCCGTAAGTTCTCTCTATTGTATCATTTCCCCTTCGGTTGTTAATTGTTATCACAAAAGGTTTTGTTTCTCATCACTTCAAGTGATTCACTTGCAGGAGATATGTCTGGCCTCAAAAGATGTCATGTCCTTTGATTTGCTAAAAAAAAGAAGTTTATATTAAGATTATATACACTTGGAATCCGTTTAGTAGTACCACAACTGGGCAAATTTCTGTTCATTTAGAGCCTAAAGAGTAAGCATTAACTATTTCCATTTAGAACTCTTCTTTAGATGTAATGCATAATCCTTATAACAGTGTAAATATCACCATCTGCAGGGGAAATAATTTTAAAGGTATCATGTGGGAAAAAGCTGCGGAAGTTAAATAGAAGTGGAAGTATATCTTTCTTACTCTTGGTGACAACCATGTATCCAAAAAGAGTTGGAGATAAATCAATGTCGTCACATTTTCCAAACCTAACATTTTTGTTACTTTTTATTATTTTGAGATTTCATTGTGTTTTTTTTGTAAGAAGAACTACTTTGCTTAATTGTTTGTTTAATTTACCTCACCCTCATACTGTTGTCTATCATGTTTGTTTAAAGTTACAGAGTTTGTTTTTTATAAAAAAAAATAACGGCTTATGTTTAGTATGATTATTAGTGTTTATTTTTAAATCAAACAACCGATCGTGTTTCTTTTAAACTTGAATTCATTTTTGTTTTCAAATTACGGATCAAATTTTTTTTAAGTTACATGTCATTTTCTGCTTATTAGTATTGGCTTTAAAATTACAGGTTGTTTTTTTTTGTAAATTAAGTTTGTGTTTATTTCCAAATTCCTGATCATTTTTTTTTAGACTGCAGTCATGTTTCCTCTACTTATTAGTGTTTGTGTTGAAATTACAGGCCGTGCTTGCTTTTAAATAACAAGTCATATTTTGTCTTCTTATTATTGAATTTGTGTTTGTCTTTAAACTAAATATTAGGCCGTCTTTGTTACCATTTACTGTACGTGTTTATTTCAAATATCTGATTGTCTTTGTTTTTAGATAACATGTTGTGTTAGTTTTATCTGTTAGCGTATGTTTCTAAATGGAACATCTTGACGTGTGTATTTTAAAATTTCAGATACCGAGTAAAAATATTTATCTAGAACAATTAATTCAAACAAGATATATATAATAATTAAATAAATAATATTATGGAACTATATGATGTGTAGTTGTTAGGTTAAATATACAAGTAATTGTGTAATGCATGGAGAAGACAAACACCAAACACAAACCAATTAAATTTATAATACTTATTAATTAGTTAGTTGTGTAATGCATGGAGAAGACAAACACCAAACACAAACCAATTAAATTTATAATACTTATTAATATAACTAATCAAAAACATAACAACCTGCTCAAATGCAGAAGAAAATTTTTATTCCATCCAAAACTATTTGATAGAGCAAAATTTACTCACTAGCCATGCATTTATTAACACCGTAAAAAAGATTTTTGATAAAAAATGGTATCTGCGAACTTTAAACATGAACGATCCCATTGCCTCTTTAGTGTAAAAGATTTAATGGTTGTATTTTTTTACAAAATTTTTAATCAAATAACATATAAAAGTTTTTTATATTTAAATAGATTTCAAAAACAAACAAAATAAATTCTATAGTAGATAACCCGTGTGTAGCGCGGACAAAGACTCTAGTATATATAATGATAATAATAAAACCATCTACAAAAGTTTTTTTTTTGCCAAATATGTGAATTATCATATAAAATGAAGCTAGTTGTAAGAGCTTACAAAGTGGTAAAGCTAAATAAAATTAACCAAGGCAAAAAAGAATAAAAACAAGGTTGAGTCCTATGGTTTGAATTCTACAAAAGTTTTGAGAGATCCTCCCTTAAACTTGGTGTACAAATCGCCAATAGTCATATATATGACTTCGAATGGTAAAAGCAGATCAAGCGTTGCAGATCAAACATTGCAGATCAGGCAGTTCATGCAGATTAATAGTTAAGCAATAAATTAATAACGCCTCAGAAGCATCTACACTTACATACGGCACAGTCTTTTCTCAGTGTAAAATAATAGTATTGGACACTGAGACTAAAATATCCTTTTAGTGGACACGTAATTGAGTCTTTGACTCTTGCTTGAGGAATTGTTTTGGGGTGATCTTAACCCAACTACCCAAGTCAACTCGGAACTTATCAGCTGCTTCCAATTTGATTTAGAGTTCTTTTTGAAGGCATGATGTACTCAATGATAGTTATGTCATGTGTCTTTCGATCGTTTGGATTGGCTATAGAGATAGTAAAGGATGTTCCATTTAAATCGAAAATTATAAAAAGATGAAGGGGCGGTTTCATATATTATTTTTGTCGACTTGGGCGGTTTCATATAATTGGAAAACAAATTTAAAAGAGCATGCGAAGGTGGAATCACTCAAAAGGTCGAAGAGACAGATTAACAACTATTTGGTGCTGATTATATTACTAAACCGGTTGAGTCCAAATAAGGTCATTTCAACAGATTTTATTTTTTTTTATTTTTTTTTTTTTTGCTAAATTGTAAATCTCATTAATGAAAATGATAGTTTGGGTACAAAGATAATTGCATCCACAATTTGCTTACACAGCAATTTTGCATCTAAGAGGCTGCAAAAAGTTTAAAAAAACCTCTAAGATACTAGGAGATTAAGTCCAAGCTTCTAACAAGAAAGAGCTTGAAGTTAATAAGGTAAGATCAAGTAAAACAACAATGTAGCACCCTATCCAAAACACTTCTTGCTCTACCAGAGTAAACCAGATGAAGCAAGAGTATAGCCAGGAGAAGTACAGTCGAGAACTCACCGAAGTGGCTCCTAGCAGGCATCACAGAGGCGCCTGGCTTACGCCCCGGAGCTCCGCTGGAGGAGGACGTCGACCAGCCAATCCTTAGCTATCTCGACAAAAGACAAAAGATCCCGTCCATAGCGACGCTGCTTACACAGAAGCTCGGGTTACGGTCAAGCGTAAGTGGTACAACAGGCTCCACAACCACTCACGCGACACATAAGATACAGCAGAAACCATGAGGGATCAGTAAGTCAACTGTCGGAGCTTTGGAAACAAGGGTATAAAGCACGGAAAGAGGTCTCAAGCTCCTTGAAAACAGGCATCCCAACAGGCGATAAAGAACTCCACCAATATGCAAAAGAATCACCGCATCGGGTTGTCCTCAAAACCCTAGCAGACGACGTTGGTAGCAAGAAGGAGGAGTCAAACAATCACCATTGGAAGCCATGGATGTTGTCACTTGAACTAAGGAAGAGGTCCCCAACGAGATCCTCAGACTCGTCATTTTGTCTCGGACCATGGGAACAAGACGGGAAAACTCTAATTCGAGCAACCGACGGAGGAGACATGGGAAAGCAGAGGAGGCAGAGGCCATAGGGGAAAGAGGCAGCGACGCCCTTCATTCCGGCAAGCCTCCGTGGCGGATCTGACCCAGAACCAGCGCAAGGCATACCCCAGATCTACCAAGCCGATGGCGCCTCCTGCAAGCTTCCGGACAATCACGACCTCGCCCTCTCTCCAGAGACATTGGGGACACACCCAGACGTTGATTTGGTCGCCGGATCTGGTCACAATCAGGCGAAAACCAGAGAAGGAGGAGCAAGGAGGAGGTGAGGTGGCCGTAACTTTGCAGGGAAAGGATTGGAACAGAGAAGGGTGGGGGTGGCGAAGGAGACTCGCACGGCAAGGTTACCGTCGAGCTCCTCCACCGGATCTGGAAGCAAGAGACGGCGGCGCTAAGGTTTTGAAAGATGGGAGAGACACTAGAGAGAATCTGAATTTAATAGACTTCCATGATTTCAACAGATTTTAAAGTCTCTTTGGATTAAAATATAGAGAAAATTTGCCAAGTGGGACACTAATTTGCAAATAAAAATGTAACCATTTTCCAAATAGACTCTTAATGAATATTATGTGATTAGTTTACATCGGACAACTTCGATCAATTGATTAATAAAATTCCCACCTAGCTACCTTTAAAAATTATCATCATATATATAAATAGATAAACCTCCACGACAGTTAAAATACACTTGAATCGGATAAGTGAATGCATATAATAATATGCATCTACTAATACTAGTGGATCGCCTACTTAATCACATAAAATGAAAAAGAAAAGAGACAAACGGGATTATATATGTCAAGACGATATGTACCTAAGATTGAGTTTGAAAAAACAACAGATTTTAGTAGGTTAACACACAAAAGATTAGGTTGTCTCTTTATTTGAGCTTCCCAAGAAACAAAAAGACACACATCTCAAGATTCCTCCGCCGTCAGCAATCTTCGCCGGAGACACTATTCTCTGTCGCCATCGCCAAAATAATTTTTTTGTTTGCCCTAACACCAAAAATTATCGAAATGTTTTCCTCTCCTAAACCTAAATTTAGGTTTCTTCTCTCGCTCTCAATCACCTTCGGATCATTTCCATGATGAAATTGAGAAGAGAAGACGATTTTTCCAGCCGAGAAACAAAGAGTCGTTGAGAGACTGAAGATTGTAACCTTCTGAAGGATAGTGGAGCCTAAGAAGAAGCTTAGCTTGAGAGAAAGCAAAGCTTCCTATTGGGACGTTAACGAAGCCATGTCTCTTCATTATCTCTTCCAAAACCTCAAACCTCCGATGTCTTTGCTTTCTCTCCGCCGCGTCCGCTGCCACAACATCCATAATCTCCTTACCGAACCACCTTTGCTCTAGGGTTAGCCTCTCTCGGCTATTCGGCGGTAAAGTCCCTTCCAACGAATCAAAGATTGCCATGTAATGATCTAAAGCCTCTGAGAACCTATTCAAGAACGAATGGTCTCCAAGATTCGCTTCTCTCTCAGCCATTGTCACGATTCTAGGGTTTAAGCTCTTGATTACCGACAAGAAGTGACCGATCATGTCTTCGTTAAAGAATCTGTGAAGGAAGTGGACGCAGTTTACGGCGATGGTCTCTCCTTGTACGGCGGGGAGAGCTAACAATCTAATCTGTAGTAAAAGCCCCGCGAGGTCTTCTTCGACGATCACAAGCGTGTGATACTGAAACAGAAGACCTAAAGAGTCAGCAAACCGGGTTAACCGGTCTCCGGTTTGGTTTAATCTGGTTATATCTGGACCACATCCGGTTATGCGTAGAGAAGGAGGTGGACTGCTAGGGTTTGATGATCTCTCGGCTAGGGCTTGCATCAATGGAGGCCACTGAAGTCCTTGTGAGATATCTAAGTCAAGTATATGCAAAGCTCCGTTTGTCTCCGTCGCGTCGAGGATGGCTTGGTTCGCCGTTAAGTGACCGAACCGAATAAACGGCGTTAGTTGATTGAGCCAAAGATAGTAACAAGACTCTAGATCGGAGTTGTTGTTGTTGTGGTTCTTGGTTCGAAACAAGAACTGTTCTTTGCATACACTGCTTGTAAACACCGTGGAACTAGTCATTTCGTTCGTTGTCCACGTGGCATCGTTTTCAGCCGTTGGATCTTGTTGTTGACGGTTGATCCGTACGGACAGGGCTTTTGTGAAGAGATGGACGAGCCGCTCGGTGGAGTCGCCGTAAAGGGAAGAGTTTGTCGAGAGGATTGAGAGTACGTTTTGAGCGGCGGAGACGTTGGACTGCGAAATGAAATCGGCAGCTGTGAAGAGTAGACGACGGAGGTGATGAGCGGCAGATGTTGCGGCTGAGGATAAGCCGTGGTATAACGGAGGAGGAGGATTGTTCTCGGTGGCGGTGGTCGCATCTTCGGAGGAGGAGCTAGAGGATTTGAAGGAAGCAAGCATTTGAAAAGTTAGAAAGATGCTTTTTGGTTCATATGATAGATTCTTTTTCCTCTCTCGATCAAATGAGTCTTTTTCAATTGGGAATAATCAAATACTATTTCCTTTACCTGAAGGTATATTGCTTGCAATATTATTATATTCTGGATAAAATCAAACATTAGATATAGCATGTGTGTGTACACGCATTTATTATATATAGCAGAAATCTCTAGAGATCAAGATGGACCGACCAAGCAATTCAAGGGTCCATAAAATCTTCCAGACGGTTTTAGGGTTAAGTATAGTGAAAAAAGTCTGGTTTTATTAATAATCTCTGTAGCTTAATATATTATTTTTAGTCTAAAGTAATAAAATATGTTTGATGGTGTTTTACAAATGTTACATTAGATTCATAAATCATAAAACTGAAACACACAATTCTGATTAACAAGTTAAGTTTAAAAGATACGCTCAGCCAATATTGTCACTCATCATCTTCTGTCAACTTGCATTCTAAAAAGTAAACACTAAAAATACTGTTTTGGTTTCACTTCGGTAAATATAAATTTGGTTTTCATCTTGGAATTATATTTTGTACGCTTGCAGCCAATGATTCTTTCATTTATTTACAAACAATAAACACTTCTTAAAAATAAACACTTCTTAAAAATAAAAACACAACTAAGATTTACATTAAAACAGTTTTACATCGGTATAAATTATTTCCTGCATTCGCACTTCTTCGTAGGCAGGATATTTATATACTTATATATATGTGTATATTTTTAATTATAGTTGTGCGGTGGATCAAGATGGTGGCCCACTGTGCTAATTATGCGTTTGGAGAAATCATTCTCATAGATGCGTAAGATGGGATTCCCGTTGAGATTCTGATGCCGAAGTTGCCCATTTACGAGATTTAACAGAAATAAAAGCAGTGCTCAAATAACTGTGCTTACAAATAAAATAAGACATTGAATGGTAATTACATGAAGGAATCTTAAAAATAAAAATCTCGGGATGTGCATAAAAAAGGAAAAGAGAAGTAGCTTTGCTTGCAAAATCGAAAAGCTAGCCCCCAAATTGCTAATCATGTCACTTTTTCACTTATTGGATTTACCAAAATGGAAATGCTGCAAAAGATCTCTCTTGACTCTTCAAGTGAATGATTCTCTCCTCATCTAATTTGTCTATCTCTCTTACTCTATAAACGTATGGGAGTGCTTATAGTTTGAGCATCTATAATTGGATTGGAGACTTTATTGCTCACATTACTCATTTCTTTTTGTATAAATGCATTTACATGCCTTTCAATATAAAATCTTACATGCATAGTTCCACCAAGAAAAAAAAAGATGCTTTCCAAATTCAGGATTTACACCACTGGCGTTTGATATATAAATCATACAGTATTAGCTTTATAAATGTATCTGAATGATTTATTCCCCATATATAACAATTTTCTTACTCTAATTATTCTCTCGCCGTTTAATAATTCATTCACGCACGTTATAGATTTTAAATTTAGACACAAAACAGGATAGTATACCAGATGTTTCATTCATTTGATTTTTTAGTTTGTGTTTTGATTTTTTAGTTTTTCTTTTGAATTTGCATGAGAAAATATTCTAAAGGGATGGGAAATCTCAAGTTAGATCCAAGCCATTTGACAAGAAATAAAGTTAGATCCACGGCAAATCAAACTTAATATATAGGTGATGAAAGTAAAGTGTCTACATTAAAATGAATAATAATCAGGAGCTGGTAGAAGAAGAGTAGTCGTCAGTAAGGACAAAGAAGATGGATGTGCTTTTAGCCTGGATAATACGCAGCGATCCCATGCGTATTTATTTATTTGCACTAAATATTAAACTATCGGCCATGACAAGTCTTTTCAGTTACAATTCTTATAATATATGCATTGAATATAGGTAGGTAGTTTGACTAAACAATACCAGCAATCATCCACGTAAATATTTTTAACCTCAACACAAAACGGTAGTATTGATTAATACATATCAAACTAGGGCTGGGAAAAAAAAACCGAACCCGGAAATCCGAACCGAATCCGACCCAATAAAAAGGAACCCGAACCGATCCGAACCCGACATAAGTACCGAATGGATCTTGTTTTTCGGTATTTCGGGTTATGGGTATTACCCGAACCGAACCCGAACTTAAATGGATATCCGAAAGAACCCGAAACTTTAAAATTCCAAAAAAACTTGTATCATATCCAATCTAAATTTCTAATATGTTTCCAAAACAGATTAATATATGATTGAGTACCTACAATAATTAGTTATGATATAAATAACTAACTCAAATATTTAGTCTAATATATAGTGTTATTTGGTTAATATTAATGTTTATGATTGACATTACATTTGAAGTTAAGTTACGAATAAATTTGTTTTTGAAGTTTATATAATATTGTTTTTAAAAGTTTAAATAGCACTTGTTATGTTTATAGAATTGATAGTTGTTAACTTTAATTTTTTATGTTTCATTATGTATTATATTTCGTTCATACAAGGCTTTGGTTTGTCATTAATCATGATATGTTTAGTGTTGTCACATATAGTTCATTGACAAATCTTATATGGTTGATAGGTGAGTTTCACAATATTATTTTGAAGGAGAACAATATGGTTTGTAGAAGCTAAATACACAAATTTAATAAAATGATTGAAAATATAGTGAGTTTAATTGAGCATAAATTAGTATTTTTAGAACCGATAACCCGATTAGTATCCGAAACCGAAACTATTTCGGGTTCAACCGGATCTTGGACATGTTACTAAACCCGAACCGAACCCGATTAAACCCGAACCGAATCCGACCCGAATTTTTATAATATCCGAATGGGGCTGAAATTCATGAACCCGAAAACCCGAAACCCGAATGAACCCGAACCGAAACCCGATTGGGACCCCGATTGCCCAGCCCTATATCAAACTATCAATATATTTATTTATTATTGGATTCTGGCTGTTATTTGAATCCATAAATAAAGAAATGGAAAATAATAATTTTAGAAGAAAACCAAAGTTAAGCAACATACATAAATTTAACAATTTTTAAATAGAAATAAAGCTAATGCTATCATTTAGTTTCAATACATGACACACGAAATTAGTTTTTATATGAGTATGTATAATATAGGATCCAATCCGCATTGAAACACAGATTGTATGTTGTTATCTTATATATGTTAAAAACAGTTCAATATTCAATTGAAGAAAATTTTGGATTGTTAATGCATTATAATTCAACTAACTTAGATGATAAGATGTAAATATCGTTTTGTATAGTCGAAACAGTTTTTTTTTTTTTTTTAACAACACGGTTTATTTATATCTAATCTATTAAAGGAGACTAATATTTTTACCTACCATTAAAAAGTTATTCTATAACATTTATAGAATTAGTTCATATAACATATTTAATTATTTACATTAATAATATACCAACTACAAATTTGAATTTTCAATTTTAATTATAACAAAATATGTTGATAAATAATCCAATATAATCTTAATCTTTTAAATGTTTTTTTTTATAAAACCACACACTAATTAGTTTCGTAAGTATAATGTAATACTATTATAAATTAATGTTAATTAAATACTTATTATAAAACAAAAAATAAAATATATCCTATTTTTATAAAGTTTATAACTATATTATGTATTATATTAAAACAGAAGTGCTATATGAATTAAATATGAAAAAATTTATATTAAATAAGTAAATTTGATCTTTTTAAAATAGTTTCATTTAAATAAATGTCACTCATCTTGAATATGTGTTAAAATTCGTAAACTATATAATATTTTATACAAATTTTTTTATTAACATAGGTCAAACATTTGTATCTACAATTACATATTATCTTTTTATTTATTTTTAAAATATTAAATATATATTAAAAATATATTAACTTCTGATTTATTAGTTTAGACTCTATTTTAATATATTAATAACAAGTCATACTTAGACCACCTAAATATTTAGTCAATATGACATATTTGATTATTTAGATTAATAGTAAACCAACTATAAATTTGAATTTGATGTTTAATTTTAACAATTCTGTTGACAAAAAATCTAAAAAAATCGTACTAACTCTTTAAATATTTTTTATAAATTAATATATAATTAATTTCGTAATTAGAAATATAATATTAGAAATAAATGTTAATTAAAAATTTATTATAAACTAGAAAATAAAAATTCTATACTATTTTATATTTTTAACTTATATTATGTATTATATTAGCATACAAGTTCTAGACAGTTCAACCCCTATGGTGAACCTCTAGATTCACCATCCAATAGAATTGCATTATTTCATATCTGATATATTTTTAAAAAAGAAACAAAATCTTATTAAGTTATATTATGTTCTTAAAAATAAAAATACAAAATAAATAAATAACAATAATAATAATTAATTAAAACAAAAATAATTCTTTTTAAAGAAAATATTTTAACACTAAACCCTAAACTCTAATCCTAAACCCTAAATCCCTGGGTAAATCATAAACCTTTGGATAAATCTTATAATGTTTTAAAAATTTAGTGTTTATGATTTATCCAATGGTTTAGGATTAGAGTTTAGGGTTTAGTGTTTATGATTTACCCAAGGGTTAGAGTTTAGGATTAGAGTTTAGGGTTTAGTGTTTTAGTGTTAAAATAATTTTTCTTAAAGAATTTATTTATAAAATTTATCCAAAGGTTTTTGATTTACTGATGGGTTTATGGTTTAGGATTAGAGTCTAGGGTTAAGTGTTAAAATATTTTCTTTAAGAAAAAATATTTTCGTTTTTATTAATTATTTTTTTAAAACTTATTTTTTGTATTTTTATTTTTAATAACATAATATAACTTAACAAGATTTTGTTTCTTTTTTTAAAATATATCAAATATGAAATAATGTAATCCTATTGGATAGTGAACCTAGAGGTTCACCCTAGGGGGTGAACCCAAGAATAACTCCAAGTTCTATATGAATTAAATATGAAAAAATTATATTAAATAAGTAAATTGATCTATTTTCATTTTAAATTTTCACTTAAACAAATTATCACTCATCATTAAAATGTGTTTAATTCGTAAACTATATAAAATTAACATATCGTAAACTTTTATATCTACAACTACATATTTTTTTT